GTGCGTATTGACTTTAGGGATCCAAAGTAACTTGGTGCTTTGAACCTTGGAAGGCAATCAATTAGTTCTTTTCTGACTGACTAGAAGTGGACGGAGCTCTCTGTTTGAAAAGCAAAGTCGTCTTCCAAGGGATGACTTGTGTGATCAATTCTCCACCTTCTATGTCAGTGAGTCAGAGTGGCAACACAGGCCCTCAAAGTGTACAAAAAACAATAGTAAACCACAGAACTGGGTGTCCAGAAATGGGGACACATTGCAGTTTCTTGACGCTCCAGCTTTTACAGGTTAGGGGCTTCATGGGGGTTCCATAAGGGTTCCCCTACCTAGATCATCCATGTCAATGTATGACCTATTTACCTACATTGGGGCCGGGTGGTTTCAGAAAATTATAGGCATATTGCTATACATGGATGGTCTGTGATGAGGGGTCTCTCTGATCGATTTCCAGAGTCAGGGCTTTAACCTCCCATGAGATCATTTTGCTTTAGGGTTTTGTTGGAGGATTCAGAGTGGCAAACACAGGCGTCAACACCAATTGGACAAGGCCAGAAAATCACACCCAGGTTATCCAGGGCTATATATCTATGGTAACAGTCACTTCTATGATCTACCTTTCTACTTTGTCAATATTTATATACAACGATGTCAACTTCTACGACGTTGACAACTTTTGCAACTTCTACGATCTTGGATATATACAACCTTGATGACTTTTCCCACTTCTACGACTTCAACAACTTTTCAGTTCATAAGATATGTGCAACGTTGACAATGTTGTGTATGTTTTAAAGGTTGTAGTATATAATTGTATAACAATGTTGTAGAAGTCACCCGTCAACATTGTAGAGGACCCCAAACGTTGGCCCAAACTGGGTGATGAGCATGGTCAGCTCCATCGGTTGGCCTCCTGAGTTTTGAACTTCCGTTAACTTGCATGTCGTCTCCGCTGGGGGGTTGATGGAGGGCGATGGCCATGCTTAAGCTTGTTCAGGCGGCCAAGTCGGCGGCACAACGAGAGAGGGAGGAAGCCATGGAGATGAAGGTCCCAGATCCGCCCCGATCGACCGTGCGGAGGGAGGGCAGCTGGCGTTTTGGGAGGTTTCTCCTGACTGGACTGAGGTCAAGGTCGGCTGTGGTCCCATGTGGTCCCTTCGTTTGGGGTGGCTCCGGATCTGAAGGTTCCGTGTATAGGAGTGGTTGAAGTTGCGTGTAGGGTAGGAGTTGCCCATGTGCTACTCGCATGTTGAGTCTACAATCATCTCCATTGGAATCCTTTATTGACCTGAAAGGGCCAGGGCCTAGAGGGCTGAAAGGCTGCCAGATGCCTTTCCTGTCTTCATGTGACTTTAGCGAGCTAGATGGCTATTAGGCTATTAGGCTATTGCTGTTGAATTCGTTCAGGCTTGGACCATATTTGGCTCGCTCTTGCCCCACCCGCAATCACCACACCATCATGCTGTAGCTTGGTGAGGATGGAGCACTTCGTGGCTCCCAAGAGCGCACTTCTTGAAGACGAGCACATAAGGGCCATCCAAACAGAGGTGTCGAGAGCCCCAGTAGACCCTATAGGGTAGTGTTGAGACCTCCTTCCTTTGGTGGTAGGCCACATGTGCCTATGGTATCATGTTCCCACTTTGGGGTGCTTGGCCCCCCCTGCAGGCCCTCTATGAGCAACGGACTGCCGAAGAGGCCGCTGACGCTCGCTGGTTCAAGTCAGCCGTACGAGCTGTGGGTTCCAAGATCCAGTACAGAGCCGTGGGCATGTCCACCTGCCATGGGGACCATCCCAGGTTAACCCTATTGCTGGGAGAAGCTGCACTCCACCCTTGGTCCAAAACATTCCAAAATCACTACTTGTCATGGCTAGAAGCTGACTTCGAGCCCCACGTGCTAGAGTGTTGACTAGAGTTTAAAAAAAGCGACAACAAAACACCATACTAAATGCTGCAAATTGTTTCTACATGTAACATCTTATGGGTGTAATATCATCAATGTGAAAGCATGCTGTACCATCAAACATGCTCATTTTTCTCGCCGCACAAAATGCCTTATCGCCCCACACCTGCCGGGTCCCCTTTTCGCCGCTCGCCCCACGGGACGCAGGAGGCCTCGCGCGAGGCAGCCGCCCAGCGACAGCAGGAGGCGCTGGAGAGGGCCGAGCGGGCGGCTGAGGCGGCCAACGCGGCGAAGGCGGAGTTGGCCCGGAGACCCGGGAGAGAGGATGGGTGGTGGAGATGACCTGAGGATGGCGGGTTCAATCCAAAAAGTTTGATAAAACATGGATGGCCACTGAAACACTGAGAGGCTGATCATGGGAACACATCCTCCCCCTATTTCAGCAATTGTTTAAAGCAAAATACCCCTGAATCCATTCAAGACATCATAAGAATCATAACGCATCCCAAGCTCCATCAGCTGAGCGCGGATTCTGCGGTTCTCAGGAAGCGCGAGGCGACGAGGTCTCCGACGAGGAGCGGGAGCAGTTGAAGGCCAAGGCCGCAGAGGCGCGAAGACCGGGGAGGAATGAAGGCGGTCTTCAGGGGGGTGAAACTGCATATAGTGAGGTGCGGACATGGTGGGACATGGTGGGACAATTTTTCCTGTTTTAAATGACGGTATATGATGGTCTGAAAGCAGGTTTGGGTGAAGAATGTTGAAGACATTTATTTGCTGATTAAATCAATGTACCATCATATGTATATATATATATATATATGTGGTCCTTTCATCAAGTGTTTGACTCTTCTTTTGCTGTTCTTTGTCTACCTGAGCTTGCTGGTGTTCTTTACTTCTGAATTACCAAACCTGGAGCTGGACACATCATCTATACACAGCACTCCATTCATAGCATATTTATCCGTACCATACATTGGGTTCTTTTCAGGGCATGTACTGTAAGTGCAGTAAGCATATATATATATATATTATATTTGTGGAAGTATGATTCGACGATGTCTCTTGGCATCTTGCGGAGATTTGCAGGAGCACGCTGCCAAGGACTGGGATTTGCAGAAAATTCTGGAGATGAATCTTGACATTGGGGATGAAGATTAAAACAATGAAACAGCATGTGAATGTAAGTTCTGATTCTAACAGCTTGATGTTTGTAATTGTTAGGGGAGTATTGCTAGTGTGTTTCGGTTTCCGATCTTGACATCAACAGTTCCGAATCCTAGTTTCCACAGGCGTCAATCAAATCCAGCAAAACCATTTGGCTTAAAACAACTTTTGGTTCTCTTATTAGTGACAGAATAGGTAATATTCACAAAATTCAGACGCATATGTAAAGCGAGCATGAAAAAAAACAATACATCATATGTATATGATATGGTATAGATATAGATTAGTTCTATATGAAATGAACACAACTTAACTTGACCTTCGCCCCTGTCGGGCTCCGGTTCTCTCGGTCGAAGGGAGTTCGCATGAGGGGTACCCTCGAATGGAGAGCTTCGCTTCGACCGGAGGTTCGATGAACAGGTCATCATGGTTCAGTGAACAGGCCACATGATGTGTTTTACAATAGCCATCGCCATCTGCATTTGAGCAAAGAATATGCGAAGACTCGTGGTAGGCGTGGTACCCATTGCAAGTTGTGCCAAGCGGCCGCTTTGAAATTGGAGTGGTTGGTCCCCTCACGAGAAGCGGCAATCACCGATGATGACGACCTCTTCCGACACAAGGCATTGAGTCTCACATGTCATGCCTGATCCACCTCTAGCAATCCATCCACTCCAACCCCCAAAAGTTCTCTTCTTGTCCTCCATCCAATCTATCCAATCCATCAATCCCTCCATCTCTACTTGTCCAAAGTTCGTCCCTCGTCCTCTGCAGGAAGCGGCGGAGACGGCGGCGAAGGAGGCCATGGAGGCGATGCAGGCGGCGCAGCTCCGTGCCATGGAGACGCCTGGCGGAGTCTGCTTGTGGCGCTTGTGGCCCCCAGGTTCGGCAGTGGCCCGGGAGGGGTGGGAGGGGGATGGGGGGTTGGAATGGATGGACACATGGTGGATTTCCAGGGGCAGAACATGGTGGATTTCCATGAGGGGCAGGGAGGGGCCTTCAACTCAGATGGCCCAGATCGATGCTATGCTCGATGCTCGTTTTCTCTGGGGTGTTGGAAGGCGGAACTTGATAGATGGACAGATGGAGTCCTTGAATCCGTAGGACCCAGAACCTTGTTCAGCCTCTAAATAGACGTTTCCAGTTGCATTAAGTCCAAGATAGTCCAAGAGTTGCTTCCTCCTAAGGATCGTTGAAGTTCTTTTTGGAGGTTTGATGAGGTTTGAAGAAGGGATGAAATGGGACTGCAAACGGAGGCCTGTCAGATGCGACGGGGAGGCCGGACCAGCATGTTGATGTAGAAGCAGTGTGGTGGCTTTCAGTCTCACCAGGGATGTTTGAACAGTTTGTTCTTACGTAGATGTCCAATTTGTTCACGTGATTTCTATCATAGTAAGTCAATATATAATAATATATATATATATAATGCCTATATATATATATCCCCACAGACGGTCTATTCGGATGCGGAATTGCCTAGCTTAGGACTGAAAAACAGATGAAGGAGGCCACCATCAATGCTCACTTTCAGGTGCCACCCAGAGGGTCCGCGGGTCCGTTGCTGTGAAGGGCATTGGATGATAATATATAATAGCAATGGCCTCCAACTTACTAGCAATGGCCTCCAACCTAATAGCAATGGCCTCCAACCTAATAGCAATGGCCTCCAACTTACTAGCAATGGCCTCCAACCTAATAGCAATGGCCTCCAACCTAATAGCAATGGCCT